TCTATCCCTCTCCCTCTCCCTCTCCCTCTCCATGTCCCTCTCCATGTCCCTCCCTGTCTCTCTATCCCTACTCCCTCTCCCTCTCCCTTTCCTTCCCCTCCCTGTCTCTCTGTCCCTACTCCCTCTTCAACACCCCTGCCCATGCCCTAATAAACTATTCTATACTAAAATCATCATATGGCTGGTTGGGACATCATGGGGAAGAGATGCCTTGGCATGGACCTGCCTGCGCCCCACAGAGGCACTCACACCATGCCTTGCTTCTACCAAAACATAGCCTTGGCTTTTTCTTTTTTCTAAAATACAACAGCCGTGGTACAGTCACCTGAGGTCCCTGTCCAATTCAAGATGTTGAGCTATAAACATATTACTTCAGGGAAGTCCCACGAGATAAAATTTCCTCATTTCCTAGCCTGAAGTCTTTTCTTTTCTCCTTGCTTTAGGCTTCCTGCTATTTAAAGACTTCTGCTTGAACGAAATTGGCGAAGCGGTGCCTCAGGTGAAATTTTATGAAGAGGTAAGACTCAGGCCTCTTGTGAAATTCCCTTCTAAAGTGTGTTCAGCTGAGCGTTGGAGCAATCTTAAGGATCGTAAACACCTTATGTAATTCAGAAGTTCATTAAAACTCCTTACTGGTGCAGATGTCTCAGCAGTGGTGGCCATGCCCACAAGCCAGGGCTGATGCACACACAGCTCAGGCGTAAAAGAAGCAGCTGTTCTCAACCTGTGAGTGGCAGCCTCTTTGGGGGTTGAATGACCCCTTCCACAGGGGTCACAGGTCAGATATCCTGCATACCAGAGGTTTATGTTATGATTTGCAACAGTTGCAAAATGATTCGTAACAGTAGCAAAATTACAGTTAGAAAGTAACAATGAAATGATTTCATGGTTGCGAGTCACCAAAACATAAGGGACTGTATTATAGGTTCTCAGCATTAGGAAGGTGAGAACCACTGCCCTAGAGGCTTTGGAAAGAGGGAGAGAGAGAGGGAGAGAGAGAGAGAGACAGAGACAGAGACAGAGACAGAGAGACAGACTGACAGACTCCAGAGGCTCCAGAGTTGTTCAGAGGTCACAGGCTCTTGGCCATCAATAGATCTTGGTTGCATCTATGACAGGTGAGGCTGGGGGCTGCTGGGTTTGAAAGAGAAGCTAACTTGGGGCTTGCTGGCCATCTTGGGGGACTAGAGAGTCAGGACTTTCTGGGGCTGGGTCTCACAAACACATCTGCTTTTCCTAGGACATCGGGTGAAGTTTGGGGTTGGAGGGGCCTGGAGAGTTAGTGTAGAAGTTTCTGGAAGGTGCATCAAAATCTAACTTAGCCTCATGGGGTTAGAGGATGCAGACATCCTGGGAGCGGAAAGAGTAAGCCAGGGAGACCCTGGTGGGAGTGTCCTGTCCAGCGTGAACATACAACTGCTCAGGGCGGCTAGAACAAGCACTGTGGGTTGGTGGCTACTCAATGTGGATGTGTTCAAGGTCATCACAGCAAGGTGACATTTAAATAAGGGCTCGGGTGACAAGACTGGCCTCTGGGTGGGTTCGGAGTGCACAGGAGGCCACACAGCTACCATGGTTAAAGGAGAGTGGCACATGAGGAAGTGAAATTGAGGATAGCATTGTGGATGTGGGGGGAGAGAGAGGGCAGGGTAGTTAAACCACACACACAACAGTGGCAGATTCTGAGTCTAAAGTATACGGCAGGCATGTTGGGTGTGCTGATCTTCACACCTCTGCTATGTGTTGGATGTTCTTCACCCTGACTCAGTTTACCTCAGGCACGAGAGAGATGTTAAAATCTCCCACTAGGATGGTGGAATGGCTTCCTGACTCCTGTTGTCTCTTTTCCTTGTATGTTGAAGCTCTGTGGTCAGCCTCACGGACATATTGCTACAATGTCACAGTGTGAAGTGATTTGCCTGTCATCTGAACCTTTTCTTTGGCTCCTTTCTCCCTGGGCTACGGACACAGCCACAGGTGCATGTGGTTCTGGGGAGGAGGTCTCTCTCAGGCTTTCCGTCTTTATGGTGCTTCTTTGTAGGTATGCGAGCCTGCTGTTCATGCCCGTACTGGCATGCCTGCTTCCCAGTGACTGTAGATATCATTTCTGCAACGTTTGCTGAAAGTCTTCAGCAGCTACATTTCCACCCTCAACCAAATCAGAAGCAACTAGGGCGATTTTTTTTTTTTTTTTAGAACGCTCCCTCCCTCTCTTCCCGGATTCCGGTCCTATTTTTTTGATCGATGGATATTATCGTGCCGGCCCCAAAACTGTGTTCAGTTTTTCTTTTTGACATTCTTTTTCTCTTCTAGAAACTGGATAATATCTTTGGTCTGTGTTAGAACCCACTGACCTTTTGTCTCAGCTTCTACAGCCTGCTCTCCCATCCATCCGCTGAACGGTTTATTTTGTAACTTACATTTTCGCTTCTGAAATTCCCAGTTGATTTTTTTTTTTTTTTGATAGTTACTGTTCGGGTTTTTGTTTCTGCTGCTGTGATAAAAACGTCCAGACAAGAAACGAAGAGGAGGGAGGGATTATTCTGCTTAAAATCCCAGTTACAGTCTGTCCCCGTTGAAGCCAAGGCAGGAGCTCAAAGCTGCCCACATTACAGTCAAGAGCAGAAAGACCCCAAGGCTAACCCTTGCTAACTTGCTCTATGCTAACTTTTTCCTCCAACTGTTCAAGACCCTCCTTCTCCACCCAGGGAAGTACTTTCCCTGAATGAGCTGAGGCTTCTTACATCAAAGAACAATGAAGACAGTGTTCCCTAGACAGGCCCACAAACCACCTCCTATAGAAAATTCTTCAGTATTCCTATCTTCCTGGGTAACTCCAGGCTATAGCAAGTTGAAGGCAAAAACTAAGTAGCAAGGTAGTTTTATATGCTGCTACCCACCTCACAGGTATGCTCTTACTACTAATTATAATACAGTCTTTGTCTGATAATTCCAGCCCTGGTCTTGTTGGATTAGATCTCATGGCTGGTCTGCATTTTCCTGTGTGGGCCCATCTTCTTCACATGGGAACAGCAAAATCACATATATACATCGGTGTGATTGACAATTAATTGATGAGCCCCTAACCTCCCACAAAGAGCATGGGTAGTTTATTGCCAGCAGACCCTGAGCCCAGCTCTCCCCTACCCTGTGGTGTACCATCAGTGACTCTTCTTCAGCCCCTCAGAGCCTTTCAGCCACTGAGGTTGGCCATGCTCAGATGCTCACAGGTCATCAGGTGTCCAGCATGCGTGATGGAATTATCTATGTGGATTTTTGTTGTGAGTTGTTCTGATGCTGTTTGTATTCTGATGTTAATTCTGCTTCCTTAAGAGGGGCTGCCCCCAAGGGGCAGACCATTGAGCATTCCGGTGATCTCATCTGAGCCTTCTCCCCATTTTAACTGGCCAATAATGGCTAGAGCCTGTGATTGGACAGTGGAGGGGAAAGGTGGGACTGAGGGTTTGAGAGTGGGGGGCAGGGAGAGAGAGAGAGAGAGAGAGAGAGAGAGAGAGAGAGAGAGAGAGAGAGAACAGGGGAAAGACATAGGACTGAAGAAGAGGAGGAGGAAGCCATGATGAACCAGAACCACATAGCCAGGAAAAACTGCAAGTAGCAAAGGGTCTCATAGCTGGGGAATAAGTTAGTATAGTGTTAGATCTGTCCAATCTTGGCATATAGCTTATAATTATAGTAACTGGATTGTGTGTATGTTTTTATGGACTTATTGGGGTTGCAGATTCCAGCACCAGATTTTGTCAACTTCCCCATTATCCGTGCCTGTTAGGTTACTCTCCGGTGTGTCTGTCATCATGATTCCTTGAATTGACTGTCATGGTCTCAGGAAGCCCATTCTGCTCTAAGCAGGTTATCTGGGGTTTGTGGTGGATTTTGAATGAAGCATGGGTGTGACGGGCTGATGGGCTAGACACGAGGGTGCAGCATGTAGACCAAGGGAAAAGTCAACGACGATCCTCCTTTCAGCTCCGTTTTGTGACAAAGAAATCCAGTGGGACGGGGTGGCTGTGATCCATTGCAAGTAGAGATGGCAAGTAAAGACGGCAAGTAGAGACGGGGGCTCCTCTAGATGAACTCGCATGGGATTACTCTGTAGATAACCAGCGGGAAACATCGAATGTGTGGCTGCCGATGTGATGTGGGCCCAACATTTGCAGGCCTGGTTGCTTTCCCTAAGGTTTGCATGGCTAGTGACAGCCTCACAGAGTGTCCAGGATTCTGAAGCCGATGGGAGACTGAGGAATGGAAACAAAATCCTGGAGATGCAGAGTTCGGATTCCAGAGAGGTGGGGCTGGAACACAGAAGCAGGCTGGACAGTATGACATGCGTAGTGTGTCCAAGCAGAGAATGACTGTATATGGGCGTATGCTATCACCCCTGTTCTACAGTGTAGAGGCTCATTACCTGAGTAACAGGTTAGCTCTCCTACCATTCTGAAATGTGTCCTGTGGTCAGGAAGTCTTTTGGGCAGCCATGTCATGGCCGACAGCTTGTTCCTTAGCGAGCCTTCTGAAAGAAAGCGAGACGTGGGTTTCAGCCTCCGATGGCCCCTTGTTCTCTCAGCTGCCGACCCCGTGCTCTCTCAGCTGTTGACCCCATGCTCTCTCTGTGCTGTCTGGTACTCACATGGGGTTAATCAGACTCTGGTCCCAGAGCACAAACACGGTGCTGTGGTTCGTTTGTTCACAAAGCCAGGATTATCTGTGTTGCTTCAGGAGACGAATCATGAAAACTTTAGGAGTGAGCATCTGACTCGCCAGAAGCACTGTGCCTCATGGGTCCCCTGGACGCATCCCTTTACGGTTGTGTGGTTGTGTTTAGGATATTAGTTCTGGGATGGTGTGCTACCGCTCCAGGTTGTTTGTGTATCAAGAGACATGCTTTGGCCTCCGGTTGGCTTGGCATCTGTTCTTGCATTCGGGCCATCTGGCGTTAACCCTTGACTATTCCAAGACCAAAATGCAACCAGAGGAGTCAACCAACCATAGGAATCAACTAAGCCCCATCCTGTCCTCTCTGATGGCTTGGATGAACTGAGCCTGACGTTGTCTACCTTGCAATGGCGTATCTATGCAGTTGCTTAGTGCTTAGTTTTCAGAGACTGAGGTAGGATGCTTGGACCTGGTTATGCCAGCCTTGCTGAGACATTCTGATCCTCCTGGGATGGTCCCACAGTGTCATCTGCCCCATGAAGACCCCATTCCTAGCCCCAGAAGTCCCTCTGGCGTGACTGCCAGCCACCATGCTACACTGCCGATTGGATCCTTGAAACACCTCAGTGTGGAAACCAGCTAGTTGTCGTAGGGCCTCCTGTGGTGACACTCTCTTCTCCCTCCCCCAAACCGTGACCTCATCTGCATGAGGAATCTTTATAGGATTGACTGGCTTTTTATTTCAGTGTATGAACGGCAGCCTGTAAGGTCAAAGCTACCCCCATGGGGAGCAAGTCCCTTTTCTGCCAGCCCAAAGGGACAGCTCTCAGGTGTCACACAGTGACTGTAAGTGGGTCGCACACGGCAGCGCGGCATGCGGAAGGTGTCTTGACCTTTATATTTTATTGTTTTTAGTCTTGTCTTGGGGTGTCAAAATATGTGTGTAAAGAAATGGAGACAGTTTTCTGACCAGGGACCTCTCGAGATCAGATCACAATAAGCGGGTTAATTTCATTATTCCCATGTGCCACAAGTGCTTCTAAAATCCCGTTTTACTATTTAGTCAGCTCAAAGGCCAGCTGGGAAGCCTTTCCTAGCAGCTAGAAACACAGTGGATCCTTCCTTCCTTCCAACTGTCTCTCTATCTAGTCCAGGCTAGACTCAGACAAACTCTTCCCATCTCTGTCTACCAAGGCCTGGGATGCCAGCCATGCACACCACACCTGGCCTGTGATAACTAGTAGGGTTGTAAAATCACGCTTTCATCCAGGAGTCCACTCCAAACACACACTTCCCTCATGTGAAGGTGGAAATCTGACAAATTCTGGCTACTTTCCCCTGCTGGGACTCTGGTAGAGTGTGAACACGCTCCACCTCGGAGCTGAAGTCCGGCCAGCTTTGGAAAATTTGTGCTTTGGAGAGAACTGGCCAGGCAAGTGGCCCCAGGCTTCTATGTAGTGTGGGATAATTGTGGCTAGGGTAGTCTTTGTTTCTCCATTCAAATGCTCAGGGTCATCATGAGTCTAACCTGTGGCAACCTTGTTATCTCCTCCTGCAAAGCAGTCATTTTTAGGGGAAATGCTGCTTCGGTAATTTGTTTTATCTCACGGGGGAAGGTTCCCTCCCGGGTCAAGTGTAGCTCTAAATAAAGCCGGTTTCTAGGAAGCCGTGAGCTAATGTTGACAACCTCTGGAAATCTAGATAAAAGAATACGAGAAGCTGGACAACGAAGAGGACAGGCTACGCCGCAGCCGGCAGATGTACGATGCCTACATCATGAGGGAGCTCCTATCCAGCACACACGTGAGTGTCCCATCCTGATTGATCCCCAGACGGCACCACACAGGGCGTTGACAGGATCTCTGTATGTAACCCGGCTGATCTTCAATAGCCTCCTACACACTAACACTGACACCCTGATGATGGTGATGCTGATGATGGTGGTGATGCTGATGATGTTGTTGCTGTATCATTTAGGGGTCTGGAATTGAACCCAGGGCCTTACGCTTGCAAGGCAAACACCACGGAGCCATCACCCTAGCCTTGCCTCATTGGACTAAATTTAGCTATACGTTTAACAATCGGGTGAATCAGAGTTCTATTACTCTATAAATCTTCAGTGATGTCTTGGGATTGATGGGGATTATAATTATTATGCTAATTTTATTCACGAGGAGTTAAGTGATGGTTGGAATTATTGTCTTCCTTAGAAGCTGGATAAGCATTGGGATGAGGGAGCACATGGATTTAATTAGCAAGGTAGAAATTGCAATGTGGCCGGGTGCCCAGCACTTGGGAGGCAGAGGCAGGCGGATTTCTGAGTTCGAGGCCAGCCTGGTCTACAGAGTGAGTTCCAGGACAGCCCAGGCTATATAGAGAAACCCTGTCTCGAAAAACAAAAAAAAAAAAAAAAGAAAGAAAGAAAGAAAGAAAGAAAGAAAGAAAGAAAGAAAGAAATTGCAATGTGGGTGACTCTATACCAACACAGGCTGTTCTTTTCAAAGGACACACAGTATTGACCTACTCTGTCCAGGGCCGTGGCCACTAATCTCATGTAGCTACTTGGGTTTATTTAAAGCAATTACTATTAGTTGAAGTCACTTCTGGGCTCCCCATGAGCTGTGTCCCAAGTACCCTGGAGTTCCGTGTGGCCGGAGGCTCCCATAGGTGACAGTGCAAAGGTACGACGTTGTACCTTGTCAGGATGGCTGCCTGGATGGCCCAGTCATGCCTTAGCACTTAGGATGTATTTACAGTTCATGGTGATGTGTGTGCGGCTCTGGCACACGCAGGCCTCTCTCAAACCTTCCGTTGCTTCACTGTGCTATAGAGAAGAGATTGGGAGCCCGGCACATGCTCATTGCCTTGTACCTGGGTACCTTGGCTGGGCACGGCTGAGCTCTGGAGGACACATGCAGTCCATAGAGCCAAATTTGGCTTTCCTCAGCTCAGCTATGGGGGGCGCACTTCAGCAGAGTGGTAGGTTTTGTTCAAATGACTGTGGAGATCACACACATACACACACACACACACACACACACACA